AAGGAAAAAAAAAAAAAAAAAAGAAAGCAAAAATTTCTATAGATATCACACATGCTGAAATGGTATTATCTTGTATTTGGCATACCCATGAATGTAACACAGAAATAGTCGGCAAATATGAGTCCTTTATTGTGAAGTGTTGATGCGGGGGTAGGTGGAGGTGCGAGAGGATTGTCTATAAACTGAAAGTCAGCTTTCACTTTATTTTGGTTTATTTACAGTGGTACATTAACAAATGTATAGACATTTATCACTATGATGTGATACAAAATGTCTTCTACTAAATACTTAAACGTCAAATGGGAACAAGCTTTATTATTTTTCAAATATGAACATTAAGAAGGGCCTAATTCGTCCTGGAGCCATAAAACCTAGAGCCACTGTGCAAGCTACTTTTCTCACTATCATTACTATTATTATCCACAAGTCTATAAAAATTACCACTCTTTTTCCAAAAGATTAAAGCTGGCAATACGACTAAATAGTAGTAAATTAGATGATTGCTTACAGATGGAAGGAAACACACTTTTGCTAGAAAGCGAAACATCAAGGAGAACTTCAAAGCAAGGCCGCTCATCAGCCATCACAATCAATTGCTGGGAAATTATTAAGTTCTTACTCTGTCTAGCACTGCAGTTCTTAAAAACTAAATAACCCCAATGGAAATAACTAAAACTTTAAAGCCCCTTGAAGTCTAAGACCCTAAACAATGTTTACCAAAGCATGTTCCAGGAACTATTCTCATCCACACACTTGAGCTCATATTAGAAATGCAGATTTCTTGGCCTGACCCCAGATCCATGGAATGAGAAACTGTTGGAACCTGCCAAGAATCTGCATTTTAAACAAGTTTCCGTTTCCCTCACTACCCTCTTCCAGTAATTTTTATGCACAGGAAAGCATGAGAAATCTTTCCTAAAACATGTTTAATCAGTTATCACCATCATCAACTAAAAGTAATTAATCACATACTTCACTAGAGACAATTTAGAAAGGCATAATTCCTAACTTCAGAAAACCGTATTCTTTAATTATTTTTCAAAAAAGAGTGAGATGGGCATATTTTATGAAGATTTTATATTTTATGAAATTTGTGTCATTGGTATATATTGAGGTTATATAATTGATGTATACATGAAGTTGTCTATCTAAAGTAATTTTATTTCTATTTTGAGTCTTATTTTTGTGTAAAAAGTATGTAAACAAATTGTAAGGTATCATTTGTATATAAGTTTCATAATTTGATTTCATTTAAAGGAGGTACAGTTGGATTTGTTTTACTTTTTCTATAGGGGATATCAGCTAGACAGAGGACATGTAATGTATACTTCAAGAGCAATTGGGAAACTAATAGACGTTTGAACAGAAAACTTTAATGAATGAAGAAACAGTAATAAAGTTTACAATCACTAAAGAAAATTTAAGAGAGAACTAAAGGAAACCTTCTACAATTCAAAATACTCTAAAAGGGCAGTACTTCTTACTTGGGTGAAACAAGTCAGAAGGAATTGTAATTAAAATATTTTGATAGAAGGATGAGGTGATTGAAGTAATTAATAAAAGGCAATTTCAACAGATTAAAGGAAAGAAAGGTAAATGATGAGAAAGATGTGGAAAGATGATTTATTCAAAGCAAAACATTGCAAGACCTGCTATATACATTCATTCATTTAGTTGTGCTGTTAAATTTTTTCAAAGTTCCCTAACTTACAAATGCTTTATTCTTTCCCCCAAAGGAAATCTCTTAGTTATAACATTTGTTAGCTACTTTGGAGCCAAACTTCACAGGCCAAAAATAATTGGAGCAGGGTGCCTAATCATGGGAGTTGGAACATTGCTCATTGCGATGCCTCAGTTCTTCATGGAGCAGTAAGTCTGCAGCAATCATCATTTTCTTGCTTACCCAACAATTGCATTTCTCCACTTTATGATTACAATTAATTATTTAAATTTAAGCTTAAACCATGATAATTTTGTGTCTTATTTTTATGACATACACTTTGAATAAAATTTCAGAACACTTTCATAATTTTATTTGTGACGATGTGTAAATTATTGATGTACTATGAAGTATCGATGTCAATAAGATTAAAGGGAACTTTTTATTAATATGTTTTGAGTCAAATGTTTTAATTTAGCTGTGGAGGCAAAATACACAAGTAAAAAGAAATTAACATTATGTGGTAAATGTCAAAGGGGTATCATGTGGGTAACAAATGCATGTTATGGATAATAAATGCTGGATCATGGTACACTGGCTGGCAGATATATAAGTATTATCAACTCAAACATCTATTCAATGTCCAAACAGTATCTTGCAGACTTTTGTCGACAGAAGTGGGGTGTCGGTATTTTCTAACCCTAAAGTCTACTTTTGGTGCTTTTGTTTGTATTTTTGTTAGTACTTGCATACAACTTTAGTAGTTCCAAATATTTTCAACTCTATCCTATCATTTTTACTCTCACAACAACCTGTCAGGCAGGAGAAGATAATTTATCTTTTTTTATTTTAGAGCTAAGGACAATGATTTGGACAGTCTGGTGACTTTCTCGAGGTTAGATATCTTGTAATTATGGAATGGGAATCCTAAAACAGGATTTCTGACTTCTCAGGGGGCAGCCTTCATGCATAACCATGAAACCCTTCTCTGTGCTTGTTTATCTCTTGGTGACTAAGAAATATGACTACCAAAAGGTTTTGAAGCAAGACAATATTTTAGAAAATGACATATCGAGTGATACTTTGATTACAGTCTACTCCAGATCATCATATTGTAACGTATTATCTTATCTTATTTTTTTTTTCTTTTTTGGTGGCTAGCCAGAACAGAGATTTAACCCTGAACCTTGATGTTATCAGCACCATGCTCTAAACACCTGAGCTAACCGTTCAGCCCTTCATGACATTTTGGAGCTGTATAAACGTAGAAATGATCTGGTCTGAACTTTTCCTCAAATTCCCAGATCAATTCTATAACTACAGTCAGATATTGACCTCTCTGTCCAATATATAAAGGTGGGGCCAGAATCCTCTGTGGGGGAGATTTTCTACCCATTTGGATGGGTTTCTCTGGCCCCTTAATTTTTACTTGGAGTGATCTGTGATTTTCAGACTTCTATTTGCTCTTTGTACACCTCTCTGGCCTTTCCATAGGGCAGAAGTTTCCTTGGATCACTGAGATTCTGCAGAGGTATGGAATCAATGGGTAAGGAGAGAGGAAAGAAGGCTGTGGGATATGTCTTCAATCAGCCTAAGCCCTGCTTGATGTGTAGCTGTGCCACTGTTGTCTCATTCCTTTGCGTCTGCATGTAACAGTTTGCTCAGGGGGGAAAAATAGTTCCACTACTAAAAAACCTAAAACTGGGAATGTAGTTGCAGAGAATAGATAAATCCTTGACTCTTAACTCACTCTGCAGTGAATCAGTAACTCTTCTATGTGACATTGGGCATGTTACTTAACCTTTCTAGGCCTCAGTTTCTGCACATAAAAGAGGTATTAAAAATAATACCTACCTCACAATGTTGTTGTGAATATTAAATGAGATGGCACAGATAAAATGCTTACCAAGCTTCCTGACATAACTAGTAGCTGAGTTATTGTTGTTATGTGTTATTATCAGTCCTCCTTAGCTAATTAAGCCACCTAGTTTTAACCAGCAATAATTTTCTCTTATAGGTATATTTAGATGAATAATTTTGTTACCTCAAGTTAATAACAAATATAGAATACCAATACAGGAAAATCAAAGACAGAAGTATGTCTAAGAGGGCCGGCCCGGTGGCGCACTGCTACAGTGCGCCGCTTGGGAGTGCAGCGGC